TCAGTTCGTCTCCGACTCTTTGCAACCCCATGGACTACAGCACGCCAGGCCTCCCTATCCATCACCAACTCCTGGAGCTTACTCAAACTCATGTCCATAGAGTCGGTGATGCCATCCAACCATCTCATCCTCTGTTGTCGCATTTTCCTCCTGCCCTCAATCTTTCCCAGCATCAGGGTCTTTTCCAATGAGTCAGTTCTTCGCATCAGGTCGCTAGAGTATTGGAGTTTCAGCTTCAGCATCAGTCCTTCCAATGAATACTCAGGACTGATTTCCTTTAGGATGTCCTGGTTGGATCTCCTTTCAGTCCAAGGGACTCTCAAGAGTCTTCTCCAGCACCACAGTTCAAAAGCATCAATTCTTCAGCACTCAGCTTTCTTTATAGTCCAACTCTCATATCCATCCATACATGACTACTGGAAAAATCATAGCTTTGACTAGACGGGTCTTTGTTGGCAAAGTAATGTCTCAATGTCTCTGCTTTTTAACATTCTGTCTAGGTCATAACTTTTCTTCCAAGGAGCAAGTTCTTTTAATTTCATGGCTGCAGTCACCATCTGCAGTGATTTTGGAGCCCCCCCAAAATAAAGTCTCTCACTGTTGCCATTGTTTCCCCATCTATTTGCCATGAAGTGATGGGACTGGATGCCATGATCTTAGTTTTCTGAATGTTGAGTTTTAAGCTAACTAGAAATACTTTTACTTCTTCCTTTTCAATCTGAATGTCTTTTATATCTTTTTCTTGCCTAATTTTCCTGGCTAGAACTCCAGTACAATGTTGAATAGAAGTGTCATGAGGGGAAATTCTTGTCTTATTCCTAATCTTAGGGGGAAAACATTCTTTCTCTATTGAGATAAAGTATCTGTTTTTTGTATCTTCTTTATAAGACTGGGGATGTTCCCTTCTATTCCTAGCTTGTGTGGTGTTTTTATCATGGAAGGGTGTCAGATTTTGTCAAATGTTTTTTTCTGGGTCTATTAAGGTGACCAGATGATTTTTGTATTTTATTCTATTAATATCTAAAATTACATTAATTTATTTTTGGTTTTGGATGTTAACCCAATCCTGTATTTCTGGGATAAATTCACATGGTCATAGTGTATATTCCTTTTTATATGTTGCTGGATTCAATTTGTTAGTATATTGTTGAGGATTTTTATAGCCACATTTATAAGGGATGCTGGCCTGTAGCTTTTTTTTTTCCCTTGTGGTATTTTGTTTGGTCTTTTATCAGGTCTCATAGAATGAGTAGGAAGTGTTCTTTCCTCTTCTGATTTTTGGAAGAGTTTGTGAAGAATTGCTGTTAATTCTTTAAATGTTTGGTAAATTCATCTGTGAAGCCATTGAGTCCTGGGCTTTTCTTTATTGGAAGTTTAAAAATTATTAATTCAGACTCTTTGCTTGTTAACAGATCTCTTCAGATTTTCTGTTCCTTCCCAAATCCTCAATTCTAGGAATTTGTCTAGGAATGGCATCAAAGTTATCTAATTCATTAGCATATGTTTGTTCACAGTATTTCCTTATAATCCTTTAAGATGTTCTTTTTTGTCTTTGATAATCTGCATTTATACTATGTATGATAGGTCTAAATGTGGACTTCTAAAAAATTTAACTTAGTTGTGCTTTCAATATGAGGACAGACGTCGATATGTTCAGTTCTGGAAAATCCATATACATTCTGTCTTTGAAAATTGCCTCTCCCTTAATTCTTTTCCTTTTCTTTCTCTGGAGCTCTTTGAATCTTGTCTCTTCTCTCTTTTACTTTTTAGAGAGTTATTTGTTTACTTTTTAAAAATTGTTGGTTGTCCTGCGTCTTCATTGCTGCACACAGGCTTTCTCTAGATGCGGAGAGCAGGGGCTTCTCTTGTTTCGAAGCATGGGCTCTAGGTGTGTGGGCTTCAGTAGCTGGGGCTCATGGGCTCTACAGTGCGGGCTCAGTACATGGGCTGAGTTGCTCCGTGGCATGTGGGGTCCTCCCAGACCAGGGATCGAACCCAGGTCCCCTGCGTTGGCAGGCAGATTCTTAACCACTAGACCACCGGGGAAGCCCTGGACCTTGTGTCTTAATGCTCATATTTTCTATCTTGCTCTTTGCACCTACTTCAGGATAATTTCCTCAGATTTTTTTGTTTCCCCATTTCACTAATTCTTTCTTTAGCTGTATTTAGTTTTCTGTTTAACTTACCTATTGAGTTTAACATGTCAGTATTGTATGCAATTAACCTTTGAGAAATCTGGATATGAAATGTGTGGGTTCAGTTATATGTGGGTTTTTTTCAATGAATATGTACTGTAGTACTGCACGGGGCTCAGCAGTAAAGAATCTGCCTGCCGATGCAGGACGTGCGAATTTGATTCCTGCGTCGGGAAGATCCCCTGGAGAAGAAAATAACCATCTATTCTAGTATTCTTATCTGGGAAATCCCATGGACAGAGGAACCTGGTGGGCTCAGGGAGTCTCAAAAGAGTCGGATACAGCGACTAAACAGTAACGGCAGTACCACGCAATCTGCAGCTTGTTGAATCTGCAGATGAGAAATCATGGATACAGAGGGCTGGGTGTAAAGTTATACGTGGCTTTCTACGGCCCCGAAGCCCCATATTGTTCAAAGGTCAACTGTTTTATTTCCATTTAGTACTTTTTCAAAGTCTTTTTCAGATTTTTCTTTCATTCCTAGTTTTTTAAGTATCAATTTCTTTCATCTTCTGACTTGCTTGTCATATGTTTTATTGTGTGGTTAGTAATTTTTATACTGAGAAATAGTGGAATGCTTAAAAGCATCAGAAGTCTGCACTTACTATGATGATGGGCTTCCCTTGTGGCTCAGCTGGTAAAGAATCCGCCTGCAATGTGGGCGACCTGGGATTGATCCCTGGGTTGGGAAGATCCCCTGGAGAAGGGAAAGGATGCCCATTCCAGCATTCTGGACTGGAGAATGCCATGGACTGTATAGTCCATGGGGTTGCAAAGAGTTGGACACGACTGAGTGACTTTCACTTTTACTTTACTATGATGATGAGGTCTAGGACATACCAAATGTGTGGGTGGGGGGCTGAGGGGGACAGAGGAAAAGATTGGCAGAGGAACTTTGTATGTCTGGCTGCTTCCTCTTATACAGGTCTCTGCCAAGACTCACCTTTACAGAGCCTTCCCAGGCCTCCCTAACTAACACTATCCACCCCCATACTGCCTTTTCTCTTCTTCATCTTTTTCGTAACACTTAACACTGTCCAGGAATATATTAGATATTTGTCTACCTTTTGTGACTGTCTTCCATATTGGAGTGTAAGCTCCATAATAATAAGGATTTGTCTTATTCACTGCTGTGTCCCCAGCACCTGGCGTGTGGTTTATACTGTCAACAAATATGAGTGAGTAGTCCTGTTTTTAGATGGAAGTTATCTGAGCCTTGATGATGCAACTTCCAGCTGGGTTGAGCCTGACCAGGCAGCAGAGAAGAGGTGAACAGTGCCTCTCCATCCCCAAACCTTTTTCTGTGACTCCACTGGAGATGTCTCATCCTCCCGTTAAAGAGCCCATAAAATGCCATCCGTCCTGTGAGCTTCAGCTTTCTTCTGGCATGAATCCTACAGCTGCCAAAATCAGTAGTAGGGACTGGACCATCAGAAACCCTGGGGGAAGAAAATGCACAAAACCCTGGGAAGATCTGGTCCTTAACCTCAGGAGGCTGTGACTTAGTAAGGCAGGCAGCACACACAGAAAACACGTTAGGACACTTGCCCATTCCCTGAGTCAGCTGTGTGGGTTAGCACTCCCGCTATGCGCTTGCAGTAGAGAAGGCAACCTGTGTGCTGGCCCCTGGGTCACATGTTGACACAGAAGTGGTTTCTGGAGGCATCAATGGGCAGGTTACGAATTCCCAGCCGACTCCATGTTGGCCTCCTTCTGAGGTTTGCTCCATGCTGTAGGAACTTGTTCTGAGCATAGTGTTACTTGTAAAAGGGCAGAAAGTGCCAGCAGGCATTCCCACGAGGTGGGCAGGGTTGGCACCTTTCCATCCGTCTTTGACTGTATCTCTTGGCCCCACTGATGTTGGGGTTGAGGATAGTGAGCACCGAATTCCAGCAAACCCTGGCTTTCCTGCTGCACGGCTTTTGGTGAGCAAATAGCTCTGCCTCACCAGCTTCCCCAGTGGCTTAGTGGTAAAGAATCCACCTGCAATGCAGGAGACTCAGGTTCGATCCCCTGGAGAAGATGATGGCAACCCACTCCAGTATTCTTGCCTGGAGAATCCCAGGGACAGAGGAACCTGGCAGGCTACAGTCCATGGGGTTGCAAAGAGTCAGACATGACAAGCAACTCAGTACACACACAGTTGTGGTAGGGAGAGTTCATAGAGAATGTGTTTATTACCACATTGCCTGCTATTGATGTTATTCCAGCCCAGCATCTTGGGAGCCACTTGTGCCTCAGTGTCCTGATCTGTAAAACAGGGAAATAATTCCCAACCGCTGCTGGCTATCGCTCCCCTCTGTCTCTGGCTGTTGTAAGGGTTAATATCCTCAGGCTTTGAGGGCCTGAGGTGGGGGAGGAGCCGCATAAATGGGTTATTGTTGTGCTGGTGAATGCTCCGGCTTTGTTCAAGTGTCTTCACTATTTGACTTCCTGCAGTTAGTGTCCCCAGACTTGAATTGCTGGAGACACTTGCGCGTCCTCAGCGGTTGGTGGCGCTCACCTGGCCCGGCTGTGACCTGGGTCTTCACCCAGTGGGGACCTGCTGAGTTGGGGTGGGAAGCTCCATTTCCTCTGTTAGGGGCCCCCAGGGCATCAGGAATGAAAGAAATGCAGAAAGTATGACCCACACGCGCAACTGATTCTGAATAGGACGTTTATTGAAGAGGTTTTGCAGGAGGCGGCGGGCGCTTTAATTCCCGAGGCTGTTGGTGGCAGCTCTCTGCTCGCCCCAAGCCTGTTAACTGCTCGGCTGCCGGGGCCGAATGCGGCTCCCGGGCCCCACGCGGCCCTCTTGGTGCTCAGATGGGAGCCCTTTTGAGGAAAGCGGTAGGTACCCGGCTGGCCAGGCCAGGGGGTGTGAATGGGGCAGGAGCAGAACTATCAAAGGCCTCTGAGTCTTGCCAGACTCTGCCGTGAAACCTGGCTGGCCACTGGCTTTGGGGCGAAAGGTAAATTTCTCCCTTGGGCCTTCAGAAACTGAAGACAGGTTGAGTTGGTCCCTTTTTAAAATCCTGCCCAGGCTTCTTCCAGGGGATGTGTCCATCGAGGCCCGGTGAGGGCGAGAATCCCGTGTTCCTCTTCGAGTTACTGCATGTGGTTCTGCATGGGGCTTCGGAGGGTCTTCTGATCTCTGAACACTTGGAGTTGGGCAATTAGGGAAGGGGCTGTTTGTCGAGGGACCCAGCACACCCTGGGAAAAGCAGAGTTAATCTCCCACTTCTTCCGGAAGTTTCCTTTTCCCAGAATCCACAGAGGGTGGTTATTTTAGATAAAATCTAGGGGTGGAAGCAGGTTGGGCAGGTGGAAGGATGTTGTCCCTGACCCTGCCTCTTCCCCTGGTGGACACCGCCAGGCTGGGGCCATGTCCACCGCTCCGAGAGCTCTGGGCTGCAGAAGCCAGGAGGTCGGGGGCAGGTTGCTGCCCTGCCCTGCCTTGAGTTTCAGTCCTGAATCAAGGCCTGGCTTTTCCAGGAACAGGACTGCTACCTGGGCCATGCCCATATGGACCCGCCTGCCCCAGAACCTAGGGTTTGGTGACAGCTGCCCCCTCTGCTCAGCTGAGGGAGAAAGCTGCTCTCCTCCCACCTGGAAACTGGTTGGATGAGTTTCTCGGGCCTCCCTGGTGGAGGCCCCTTAGAAGGGAAGGCAGGGATCTGGGGTGGGGTGGGGGCGGGTGCTGTGGGGTGCAGAGGGGCCTCCCGGGCTCTGGGGTAGGGAACCCTGAGGGACAGGGTCATGCAGGAGACCCTGCTCTCTGAAGGGCCGGCTTCCTTTGAGAATTGACCTTGTTGTGTGAGTCTGTAAGCTATGCCTGGGGAAATCTACTTTCCTGAGTTGTCTGGGTCAGGTGCCGGGTGCTGGGTCGGCGTCCAGGGCAACGAGGGGGTGTTGCCTGGAGCTCTTGCTGTTGTGCCTGAGGGCCAGGAGGATCAGGCTGTGTGACTGATGGCAGCAGTTCATAATGGGGGGGTTGCTGCTGTTGCTTGGAATTGAAGACCAACTTGTGTTTGGGGGAGCCTCCCTAATTCTGATTTGTTGGGGAGGGAATTTGGGGAAGGGAAAAACCCTCAGGTGGTAACACTGACTCCCCCCCCCCCCCCACCCCCCCCCCCCCACACACAATGCCCCCAGCTGGGAGCTGTTCTGGAATCCCAGGGGAAGAGCCCCTTCTAGTTAAGCCCTGGCATCTCAGTTTTTAGACTTGGCATTCGCCCCCCTGCTCTTAGAAACATCTCGTATCTGGATAGTTTCATATCTCCACATTTATTGGGGGCCTTGCTTCCTCCTACTTCACAGGGGTTGGGATAGGTGTCATTCTTCTTCCTAGCACATTCTCCCCATCTCTTTCTCTCCTTGAAGCTCTCTGTAAACAGCCAGCATCTTCTTTGGCTTCTGGATGCTTCATGAACATTCTGGCTGTGTAGACCCCTGCTGCCATAGCACCACGTCGCAGTTTGTATATTTTGAGGGTAGTGTTTCACTTTGTCTCCCCGAGTCTCCGTCGCTGGGTCTTCCAGGCCTGGCCCAGGTGCGCCCATCCCCTTGCTGCCGGACGCCCCAGGTCCTTGCGTGGTCCAGGTCCTCTGGGGACTCCACTGTCCCGTGCTGCCACTCTTGTACCAGATGCCCTTAGGGCTCTTCCTTACCTGGCAGAAGCTTTGTCATCATTCAAGACTCAGCGAAAATCTCACTCTTTTAAAGCTGCCTGGGTCCCCCAGGTGGCACTTTCCACTTCTTCCATCAGCAGAGTTTATGTGCACTTCTGTGTCAGCACTTGAGGCCCTGCTTTGTGGATAATCTGTTGATATGTCTATTTTTTAAAAACTATTAGTAGTAGTAGTAGTATTTTTTGGCCGCACAGCGTGACTTGTGGGATTTTAGTTCCCCAATCAGGGATCGAACCTGTGCCTCCTGCAGTGGAAGCACCGAATTTTAACCACGGGACTGCCAGGGAAGTCCTCGCTTCCTTTTGTCATTGATGTGCTTGTCTGGTTTCTCCTGATACAGTGTTTGTTCTCCAGAGCGGGTTCTGTGTGTGATTCATCTTTGTGTCAACCCACAAGGCTGCCACAGTCTTTGTGCAAAGTGGGTGCTTGAATATACTCGAGCAGTGAATTCTGAAGCTCATGACTTGGGAAGGGCCGTTAGTCTTATCCCTAAATGAGTGGGTCGACCTTGCGGTACAGATGGCTCACTGCCCTGCTCCCTGCCGTCCAGCAAGTTAGGAGTAGAACTAATGTTGGTTTTGAGCCATGCTGGCTGGAGTACCAGGTCTATTCTGCCTTCCCCTCTTGGATATTCCCTGTGACTTAGGAAATGGGCAAACACTGGGGCTTTTCCCTCTATGTCCTGGCTCTCTAATCTGTCTACCCTGGAGTTGGATTACATTTTTTCTTTAAAATCCAAGGACCAGTGTCAAGGATGGTTTCCAACAATCACTTTTCTACCTCACGTCACCTTAAATTCTGTTCCTGCTCAGGCCTGTTGTTCCTCTCCAGTTCTCTCCCTGCAGAACCCAGAGGAATGTGCCCTGCCTGCTACAGCATAGGACTGACTCATTCAAACTTCGTCTTCTGGTTTGACCTTCTGTGGGGCCTGGATATCAGACTCGTTTCTGTTTCCAGCTGAATTGCTTTGTATTTGCCCTTAAAAGATCATGGTCCAAATCTGTGTTGGGATCATAGATGATGGATGGTCGGCAGGATCAGGGTGAAGTGGGAGGGGAGGGTTAGGTCATGGTGGTACATGATTAAACTTGTATCTTTATCATTGACTTGAGATATGGGTCTACTTTTTTAGGCACACATCAGAAAAATCTCTTATCCTGATGCTTATGGACAAATAGTAACTCATCCATCATTCTCATTGCCACCATTTATGAAAGGTATGCTGTGTGTCATTTGTTCACACTGCTCTACTTGTATCCGCTCGCTCTTGGAGACCAGCGAAGTTGGTAGTATTGCTGTGCTCATTTTACGGGTAAGGAACTTGAAGTTTGGTTAGGTCCAGTGACTTGCCCAAGGCCACCCATAGCTAGAAAAACAGAGTAACTGGGTTTCAAACCATGTCTGCCTGACTCCAAAGCCTGTGACTCCATTTACTGCATTTAATCTGCTGTCTGGACTCTCATGCACTGAGGTATTTGCTCATTCTCTCCTTCTCATCTGAGAACTCAGACCCAGTGGGCCCCTCTGTTCCCAGTTGCTTCCCACTGAGATTCTCCAATACCTTTGAATCTGATGCAATAGTAAATGCTGCAACTCTTGAAGGTGTGGTTCAAGGTTGGTGACCTCAAAACAAGCATCCCCTATAGCGGGTGTATGGGGAGCAACTAGATTGTTAATTTGTGGGACTGGGTCTCTGAAGTTTGCTGATAAGAAGGGGTGGTCCTGTGAGCCTCTAGAGATGGGAGAGGTGAGGCCTCTGAGAACACTGGAGGTATCTGTGATTTCTAGCATGGTCTTCATCCCCTCCATCTTCTGGGGACATTGTGTCTGTGTCATTTTCCTGCTTAGTCACAAGTTGTGACCTACCCTGGCTATGAGCAATAGCAATTTCCCATCCACAGTAATTGCTCTCCTTTGCCTTCAGTTTCAATGAAACCTCCTGGTGGACTGCTTTTCCTGAGATAGCTGTAGGGCCATTTTGCTGTAGTCCCTTCTTCAAACTCCAAAGTGGTCTCTTCTTCCAGCTTTTGTGGCTGGTCAATTAATATGTGGCATGGCAGGGAAGCTACGCCCCTGCTCCAGTCCCTCTTTTGGGGCCTAGAGTATGGTGCAGTCACTGCTCCCGCATGCCTCTTGCTGAATCGGAAACTTGCTGGCGGTGACTAATTGGAAACTCATTAGACAAGGAAGAACTGTCTCAGGTCTTGACTGTGGCCACTGTTTATCTTTCGTCTGACTACTGTGGGAGTGGAGAGGTGCTGAAATTTATTGAACACCTAGTGCATGCATTGCCTTCTGGGGGTGAAAGAAGGCCCAGCCCATTAGGTTTTTACTATCTAGTCTGGAAGGAGAGCTTGCCCATGAGAACCCCAAGGACCTGTGCTTTATGCGACACTCAGGCTCAGCTGAGTTCAGAGAAGTGCCTGTGCGTTAGTGTTGCTGCTGTTAACACACGCTGCCATCTTAGTGCCTTCGAACAGCACCCGTGCAGACTTCCCTGGTGGCTCAGTGGGAAAGAATCCACCTGCCAATGCAGGAGACACGGGTTCGATCCCTGGTCCGGGATGACCCACATACCATGGAGCAACTAAGACCCTGTGCCACAGCTACTGAGCCTGCGTGCTCTAGAGCCTGGGAGCGGCAACTACTGAAGCCTGTGTGTCCTAGAACCCCCGCCCTGCAGCAAGAGAGGCCTCCGTGAAGAGAAGCCCACAGCACAACTAGAAAGTAGCCCCTGCTTGCTGCAACTAGAGAAAAGCTCACACAGCGACAGAGACCCAGCACAGTGAAAAATAAATGAAACAGCAGACGTTTATTATCTTATAGTTCTGGAGGTCAGGTGTCAGTCTGGGCCTACAGGGCTATTTTCCTTCTGGAGTCTCCAGGGAAAATTTTGTTTTCTTATCCTTTCCAGCTTCCTGAAGCTGCTTAGATCCCTTGACTGGTGGTCTCTTTGCTCTGTCGGCGAAGCCAGCAGCCTAGCATCGACCAGTTTCTCGTTCTGCCCCTCTGCATTTGCTGTCACGTCAGCTTCCGACTCCTGCTACTTCCCTCTTGTGAGGACCCTCTAATTACTGCAAACCTACCCACATAATCTAGAACAGTCTTCCCCATCTCAAGATCCTTAACTTGATCATACCCGCAAAATTTCTTTTGCCA